TTCCTGCTTATATGCAATGTATTTACTGTAAATTCTAAAAGATATGAAAAGGCAAACACGATAAAATCCCATTAGAGGAATATGCTAATATGGAAATATATCTTCATGGGAGCACATATATCTAGGTGTATGGAATATCTCCTGAAAATCCTTACTCTTGTGAAAAGAATTTATAAGCCTTATATTTATAACAGGCAGGAATACAGGCATAATTCCATAATCATGCTATAACAAAGGCCTTTCTTATTTGCACACAGCACACTCCTTTTTTTTTAGCTTTCTAATTAAAGTGCACATTTTCATAGTTAGAATTACAAAACCACAAACACTTTAATAAAATAGGCTTAGCTTCTTCTACAAAACTTTCTTAACAGGGACTGGACCTGAATGAGTTGTGCTAATCATGCATTTCTATAGGAAGAATAACTGCATTCTCCTTCTGAAAGTCTAACAGTAGTATTAGAATGCAAGACCAGTGTGGGCCCAAACAACCATAAACAAACATCTGTCGATGGATTTTCATTTTGTGCACTCTTGCAAATGAAGTTCTAGCCTGGAAACAAATCTTTTGAACAGATGGATATGCACTGTTTCTTGGAACTTTGAAATCTGTACAATGTGTTTGCCATAAACTATCCTTCATATGTGGTTTATGAAAGCAGATGACAGTTTGCATTGCCACTTGTCCGTGTTCATCCACTCTGAAAAAGATCAACTTGTAAACCTGGAAGGCATTAGCTGGCATAATACTACTTCTAAACCACCTTCCACCTGAGACTTTCAACATGCTTTATAATGTTAATTAGATAAGCTTTACAACACTTCTGTGAGGTATTTTACTACTCCTCTTCAACAATGGCAAACTGGAAGCACAGCAATATTAAGGCCAAAATGTTCAAGCCTGGGTACCTAACAATTGGTACCAACACCCATATATACTACATAATTAGTGCACATCAATTTAGGTGACTAACCTAAGTCTGCAGTCAGATATCTGGTTGCTCAGGCTGTGCTTCAAAGGCTTTAGAAACTCTAAAGCTATTCTAACACATTTTTCAGAGGTAAACATGATAGTAAACTTGATCTAATGAAGTAAAAAGCAGAGGACACATCAATTCCACTAGTTTACCATGCCAGGAAGCACCATGCTGAAATATTCCTCACATATTGTACTTCCCAAACCACGAGTAGCGTAGTAAGTTTTTGCCATGCTTGTGCTAAGCAGAGTTAATTAGAGCTATAGCTATAGATTGTAGAGCTCTGCCTGCCATAGGATGCCTATACAACCGCCTGTCACGGAGCAGTGAGTTTATCTCGTGAACCATGCTTGCATACCTAACAGTGCCAGCATAGTGTAGCACCCCTCAGCACCCCTGAAAGAATTTCATGATGCCCTGGATGAGAAGAACTGACCTTGACTTTAATTGAAATCAATTATATTGGCTGTTGTTTATATTACAATTCTGATCTAAATCACTTTTGAAAATAGGACTTAAGCACATTTGAAAACACGGCCATCTTTCCCCATTGAAATTCACAAAATGTTGGTGTAAGCTATTTCCCAAGTTTGTAGGAGAATATCCTAGATCTCCTGACTTCAAAGTTGCACTTCCCTCCAATAAAATAATTTTTCTCTGCCAATGAAACAGGATATTTCCCAAAGTATCTTAATAGCTCTAAAGCATCTAATGTCTCTGAAGCCACCAAGCTGTAAACTTTTTAATCCTTTTTTATAAACATGCCCATTTGAGATTGGTCATACATTAGATTTGCACATAATATTTTCCTTAGCGCCTACAATTAACAAGAAAACAAATATATTCTAAACTAAGAGTTCTTGGATCCCAAAATGCCAGTTTAGGCATAATACCATAATTTTGTGTGCACCCACAATTCTCAGTTGCTTAGCAGGAAATTGCTGGTGAGCAAGGAATACATGACTGGAACTGTGACACTAAAATGAGATCCAAGCCAACCTCCTCTTCCCCCCAGTAGATCTGGCAGAATTTGGAACACAGACTGAGTTTACTAAGCTAAACCATCCCTCCTGAGTAAATGTTAAACCAGTTTTAAAGCTAAAGGTGTAGGAAATGAGCTGTTCATTTTAAAGCAATCCTGCTTTAAAATTTGTATTTTAAACGCTGCTCTTAAAATAGTCGACATCTAGCTGTCTTTAAGAATATATTTCAAGTTCCTTTTTTTCATATGGTAACTGTTTTCTGAAATTTTCAGTGGTCCAATGCAGTTGCCTATGAATGTACAGAATGCTTAAGTGTATGTACCAAGGATATTCTATTCTGTTTTAAATAGTTTATCATACCATCCCATCTCTACAGTGTCTGACTGACTTCCAACAGTGCAAGGACACATACTGATAGTACATTCAGGTTCAAGGAACTTGGCCTACCCTTGAGGGCAGGATAATCGAAGAAGGACAATTAAAGGCAGACAAATGATTTCAGGAAGCAGTTGGCTAACATATCTGTGCTATTTAGTGTTAGAGTATACTGTCTCCTGAACAGCTTTCCTTAAGACACAAGCAATTAATCTGCCTAACAATAGCCCACAGTTCATGATCATTTGGAGCACACTATGTAACTATAGACAAGAGTAAGGAACAGTAAATCCTGTTAAGACTGTGGAAACCTGTATTTGTACACACCTGCTGCTCTGTGAGTAATAAACCAGGGCTGGAACACATTTTCTGGAGTGGTTTTGACTCTTTACTCCTCAACGAACCTTCTGGCCCTTCCTTAAAATCCGACCAAGACTAGGATTCATCACAACTAGTGCTCCAACGTGGAGCCAGAATATTTTTTGTGTGTGGAAAAATCAAAAATTGTCATCAGGCACAGCAGAAACCTCTTTTTTTTCTACTTCTCCATTCGGACTTGAAGAGTTTTACACGTTTGCCTAAGAAACAAACACATGTCAGGTACTACACTGGTATAGAATTAGTTATAGAAAACAAAGCAGAGATTTATGGACTATATAATTGTTTTTACTTATAAAGACAAAGGTACAGGATGACAGAAGCAAAAGTCAAATAGATTTTTTCCTTTACTAAAAAAAGCATGATATTATAGAAGAAAGCAATTATTAATTTCAGGGAAAAGTTGTAAACATATTTATATTTAGTATTCTACTTATAAAAAACAATTACATCAATAATGTTTATTTAATGTCACACCACCAGAAATTCATAATCCTGACAATCCAAATTCTGAAAAGGCGTTTGGAAGTATGTCCAGTGTTAGACCTGTGATATAAAAGAAAGAAGCATGAAATAGGAATTGTTTTTTTCTGGAAAAGCTTTCCATAAATGTTTTTTCCCCATATGTGATTAAAGAAAAAAAAAGCAACATTTTGTGAATTTAACATGTATGGACAATTAGATAAGAATTGAAGCCCAGAGCAGGCATCTAGATCCATATGTAAACACCTAAGCCATGTGTAAACTTTATGGTCAATTGATAATCAGAAATGGGGAATATGATCATTTTGGCCAGTGGAAACACAGAGTATTCAGCATGCCCCCAAATTAGACCACTTTATGTAGGTACTAAGTAGGCATGTCTACACAAGCCATGCTATTGCACTAGTGCACAGTAGAATTAGTCTACTGTGCATTAAGCATCAGAAAAACACTGTGTGCCTTTGCTACTGTAAAGTAGCATGAGCTACTGTGCATTTATGTAGTACCTCATATTAGAGGTATTAAAGTTAATGTGCAGTAGCAAAGGCACATTAATGCATGTGTAGACATGCCCAGTTGATATTAGTTTCTTACATTTTTGGCCTTAGAATTAGAGATTAGAAAGCATGTCTTTAGAAAAAGTTGCAATGAGATTACCATAACATAAACTTTATTACCTAATAACCCAAACAACTTGTTGTTTTACCTTTGTTCCTAAAGGTTAAAATACAATCAAAAGGTTTGTTGTTATTTTAATGTGTATGTGTGTGTGTCTGTATTTTTTGTATTTATTTTATATTTTCTTGAATGTTATGGTTTGCAACATCAATTGAATATTGTACAGACATTAAGTTTTTCCTGAATAAGTCACTGATCTCCCAGGAGAAACCACAAGTGTACAGATGTGCAGGCTTTTTCTCCCAGAGTAAAAATGGCCATTCCAAGAGAAATATAATCTAAGAACAACCATGGTTAAATCACTCCCAAGAGAGCTTCTCCTAGGAGACTGAATGTCTGTACATGTGATTTCTCTATAGAAAAGAACACAGACCTCCAGCATTCTCCCCGCCTCCCCACCAGAAGACAGCGTGTTACTCACTGGACTATGCTGCAGGGAAACACAGGCTACCATGGGCAGTCTGATTCAGCCAGTGAGGGCTACCATATGCATTACTGTCTATAACAGGAATTATAGAAAAGCAGGAACTTACCTGACGAGGCAGCCAGGGAGCGAGTAAGGAACACTAGCCGCCGGCCGTGAGACAAAGCAACTCTGAAAACATTCAGGCAGCTCCCCAAGTGTGCCAGAGCTCATCTGACAAGCTCTAGCTGCCTAGAGGGGTTATCCCAGCAATGGGGAAGCTGAGTGAGGCCAAAAATAAAAGCCAGCCAGCTGAACACTGCAGGAGAGGGAGACAGAAGGCCAGATAGCTGATGGATAAGCATCACGCCAGAGTTGCTTCTCCCTGGGTCCACAGTGAGAGGATCACACATATGGTTTGTGTATTAAAAAGGGCCCAGACAGAAAGAAGAGACAGGAAAGCAGGACCCTGCAGCCCAGGATGGAGCACTCTCTCTTGGGGTCTGAGAACTGAAGGGAAACCAGAGGTTGGTTCTGTATTCAATTGTTTACTTGAGAAGGGGATGTTTTGTTGACCTGAAGGTGGAAGGTTTATGTTCTCCAAAGACAAACTCTGGAGGTATAATAAACAGACTGTTTAAGGGACTCAACAACCCTCTTGAGGATGGGGTTGTTGTCCTAGTTGTTTACTTTTATTTTTACTTATCTCCTGTTCCATTATTAGAGTTAGACCAAAGCAAAAAAGGAATTAAAAAGAGAGACAAGGACTTAACTTATCTATGTGAGGTAAGGGAGCGGGTGTAAGGATGAAGGAGCCCTGCAGAGCAAACCTGAGATGGACACCAGGTCAAAGCTACACAGAAGAAACCAGATGTAGCCCTCTAGTTCCTAAATTACAACAAGTTGTGATGGGTGAAGATCAGTGGGTGACTAAGAACTGATGCCAGCACAGGTATGCTAGGGTCACCCATGGACACTGTCATCTGTTGCTGGGAAAACTAAGGGAGCCTGCAGAGCATGTCAAGATGTGGGCACAGCCTCTCTCCTCCCCCCCACCAAGCGGCAGTGTCAACACTGCAATCTCTCCACTCTTCAGGTCCTCAGCTTTTGAATGTCTGTGCACATTTCTCTGGGTAAATTGTTCACCAGGAGGACGAACCTGGGAGAATTTTCCCAGATTATTTGAATGTGCGTGCACGGCCTTACCTAATAGGACTCACTGGGGCAACCCTCCTTAGTGAAGACAAAGGATGAATGCAGCCCATTATTTCCTCTGAAGTAATTTTTGATCATTTTCTTACAAAAGGTAACTCTACTTAAATGTACATGTTGTGTGTGCGCAAATGTGTGTGTATATGTATGCAGGCATGTGCAATACCCAATACTTCTGAATGTTTCCTTATTTTAGCAGAAAACTGAAAGTTTCATACTAGGAGTGTTATTACATCATATAATACATTTGTATATAGAATCATAGAAAGTTAGGATTGGAAGGGACCTCAGGAGGTCATCTAGTCCAACCCCCTGCTTAAAGTAGGACCATCCCCAGCTAGATCATCCCAACCAAACTTTTGTTCATCCAGGTTTTAATAACCCCCAAGGATGGAGCTTCTACCACCTCTCTGGGTAACCTGTTCCAGTGTTTTACTACCCTTCTAGTGAGAAATTCTTCCTATTATCTAATCTAAACTTCCCTTGCTGCAACTTGAGAATGTTGCTCCTTGTTCTATCATCTGCCACCACTAAGAATAGTGTGGCTCCATCCTTTTTCAAACTGTCCTTCAGGTAATTGAAGACTGCTATTAAGTCTCCTCTCCATCCTCTCATCTCTAGACTAAATAAGCCAAGTTCCCCCATTCTTTCCTCATAAGTCATGTCCCCCAGGCCCTTCACCATTTTTGTTGCCTTCTGCTGGACTCTCTCCAATTTGTCCACATCCTTTCTATAATGATGAGGGCAAAATTGAACACAGTTCACTTCTCCAGATGTGGCCTCACAAGTGCTGAATAGAGGGGAATAATCACTTCCCTTGACCTACTGGCAACACAACTACCAATTAGGCCAAGATTCCGTTAGCCTTCTTGGCAACTAGGACACACTGCTGACTCATATTCAGCTCGTTGTCCAATGTAACCCTCAGGTCCTTTTCTGTAGCACTGCTGCCCAGCCAGTCATCCCCCAGCCTGTACTGGTGCATGGGTTTGTTCTGTCCTAAGTGCAGGACTTCGCACTTGTCCTTGTTGAACCTCATGAGATTCCTTTTGGCCAGTCCTCCAATTTGTCTACGCCACTCTAGCCTACCCTTCAGTGTATCTGCTACTGCCCCCCAGCTTGGTGTCATCTGCAAACTTGCTGAGGGTGCACTCTATGACATCTTGCAGGTCATTGATGAAGACATTGAACAAAACCAGCCCCAGGACTGACCCCTACAGCACTCCACTTGATACCAGCTGCCAACTAGACATTCCATGGTGGAATTCAGTATTATTTTACTGTTAGCTAAATAATTATATTTTTTAGCACTTTCCACCTGAGTCTCAAACTGAAGGTAAAAGTGGCAAAGTGTTCTTTATCTTGTTACAGAGGAACTATTCCATGAATAACTAAGCTTAACTATGACCTATTTTCTTGAACTATATGTGGCATATCACTTTTCAAGTAAATTTATAAAGCAAGTTTGAAAGGATATTAACAAACCATTTGGGCTCATGGCAAAATTAAAAATGGTTTGCTTACCTCTATGTAGATACCTGCCGGTTTGCTAGTCCACTACTGATGAGTTTCCTGCCTTTGTCCTAAGCTTCAGAAATTCCTCTTGTAATTTTCCCCAAACTTGCTTGCCAGCTCCCACTGCTGGCATTTTGAGGTAGTACACATATTTGGCCTCCAGGTACACTGCCATAGCTGAGGGAATATAAAAGAACTATAGAACAAGTTAGAAAAGAGCAAAGTAATAGCCAGGCAGGACAAAAAAAATTAAAAAAACAATTAATCAAGTACGATGTTCTGATAATTTTCCTCTCTCTCCATTTAGATCCTTATCTATCAGAGAAAAAATAATCTCTTCTTGCTAGAAAAATAAATTTCGGATTCAGCCAGGACAGGTGATTTCTGACAAAGCAGTGGGTACTCACTAAGAGAAAATGAAATTAGATTCAAGAAAAACTAATTTAAATTTTCTCCTGCACGGGTACCCACCAACCCATCCATCCACTTACAGGAAGTGACAAAGAGTAGAATAATAGGAGGGTGACAAAATAAATAACAACTGTCACCCTGTTCCTGCCTTAGTTCATCATGGAAGAATAAAAAAGAAAGATGGGAGAACTCTCCACCTGAGATCTTTGTCACATAAAGTTAGTACATGTACCATATCCTCTCTTTCCAAGGACTCATAGCTGACCAAGCTGTGGAGATGGGATAAGCATAATTCCACATACATCACAAACAAATTTCCCTGTATTCCCTTTTCTACCTTTAACTGAAAGAATCTCAATTTGAAAAGGAAAACTCCCTCAAATATTAACCAAGATATTAGGTGTAATGGCTAAGGCTTCAAGGAGGTTCCAAGTCTCTGAGAGTAGAGATAGAGGGGCATGGAAAGGGGAGTTGGTGAATGAGAATCCACAGTTATTA